ATATATTTAAGACACAACTAATATGGATTACTTAGTCGAAAGATTGAAGTAAAGCTCTGTTGGAATTTCACTGAAATTGTTTCCTATTATTTTCGCAACTTCTAAATTCCACTGAAAATAAAATATTTAAAGTTTACCTGTATATGGTGGAACTAGAAGAGTTTTGGTGTCATATTTTGTAGATCCTGGCTTTTGTATCTAGAAAAAAACAAATTATGAATATATGAAATGTGAGCAATGTTTTGGACCACAAACGATTACTACAAGTTTTCTAATAGACATAAATCAATCAGAACGACATTATTGATAAGGGCTAATTCATTTTAGCATATACAAGAAGTGGGAACAAAGAGACTGACAGGTAACTTACCTTTGGATTATCCACAATGCTAGTCACTATAAAATCACTGGGGTGATAGATGTACTGGAGCACCTCATTGGTTGGTCCATCTGTTTCATCCCTTACGATTGGTTCTCTTGTTGTCAGGGGTGATTGAAGGGTGCGGAATGGTGAAGCTACTCTCTCATCTGGTTGAGAAGCTGTATGAGGACGAGCACTGAAAACATAAAAAAGGAAAGTAAAAGATAGAGAGACTGAGTAATGATCTTTTTAATTATTTGTCCTTTCTCGCTTAAAATGTGCACAGAACGTTAAGTCTGCCAATTAAGTTTAACATTTACAATTCAATAATTTGAGAAATTTTGGTGATATGGAATTGCAAAAATTTAAGTTTAAATAGGGTTCTTCCTTATGACCAAATGAACCATCCCTAGAACAGTGAATATTGTTGACAGATGCCGACGTCTGGAGTGACTGACAGAAGTGACGGTAATATATGTCCACATTAAACATGATATTTTAACTATGCCATATTTTTTATCACCTCAAAGTAAACAGACTTTCTCCACCATCAGAACCTGGGGCTGTTTTAGGTCGTAAATATTCTCCCATAGTTGACCCTGAAATATGAATGATTCCTCAATCTCTCTATAATAATAAGTATATTTAGTTTCGACTAAAATCCTGTGGGTTTGTAGATTAACAGTTCACATTAAGCAAAAGTAAACAAGTAGGCAAAAACTGAGCAACTTGCTAAAGAACACCTGAATTCAAATTTTTCCTGCATGCTTCAAATATATTTTAAATATTACTCATAGTTACAAAGTGACTGGTTTCAGACCATTATAGTTTTATGTCAGAACCGTGATAGTACAAAGAAACTTGATATAATACAATATTGAGCAAACAATGTGTGAATCTTTTTCCACAAACTTACCTGGTCTCGTTCCATCCCCTGTATCTAGTCTAGATGTTGGTCGATCAGTCATCAAATCTAATCCCTTTATTTTACCCAGTGCAGATCCTCCACCATGTTCAAATACACTGCTACGCCCAGTAAATGTAACACTACCCTGGACATCTTGTGACATAATTAAATCTTTCGCTAGATCAGACAACTTGTCCTGCCAAAATGGATGATTTACCAAACCTGGCCATCCTAGCCTGAAAACAAAAGTAAATTAATGTTGTAAAATCCATACAGTTTGTTTTTGATTTTCATTAGATTTGAAAAGGTCGACTGGTTCAGATGATAATTTGGACTAGATTTATTCATTATTAACATAATAACAACAAGCATTTTATTTCTTCGTTAAGATCAACAAAATAACAGGCATTATTTCCTTGTTCAGATTAACAAAATATCAAGCATTATTTCCTTGCTCGCATTAACAAAATAACAAGCATTATTTCCTGGTTCAGATTAACAAAATAACAAGCATTATTTCCTTGCTTAGATTAACAAGATAACAAGCATTATTTCCTTGCTTGTATTAACAAAATAACAGGCATTATTTCCTTATTTAGATCACGTATCAACAAAATAATAAGCCATACCTTCTTGTGGGATCTTTCTGTAATAATCCCTCTAATAAATTCAAATAATCTGGTGATGGTTTAGCTGAAAATCTTGTACCTTAAGTGAAAATACAGAATATTCATCAACCAAAGAATAAAACATATTGTTTGACTTGTCTGAATGAACACAGTTTTCACCTAAACATTTCTATATATATGTTCAAAGCCAACCTGGGATTTTAATGTTGAATACAGGTAAATTTTATTTTAAGACACTGGCTATGAGAATGCTAATCTAAGAAATAATTTACCTCTAACTTTAGGTGGAGGGAAATCTTGAGTCATAATTTTATTCTTCAGTTGTTCCAAAGTTTCAGACAAAAATGGTGGGTGACCTATAAATAGAGTACAAAAGATTGATAATCTTCTAACGGTGATGTTGACAATGTTGTTTCAGAAATTAATCAATTAATCTATAAAAAAATCACGAATAAAAATCCCACATAATTTTATTACCTGTAAATAATTCATATAAAATACAGCCTAACGACCAAAGATCACTCAATACACTGGGTTCTCTCCCTTGAAATAATTCTGGAGCTGAATATGATGGATTTCCTAGAAAAAACAAAACAAGATTTTTATTTCTCATATCAATGTTTAATTTAAGAACAGATAAATCTACTATCACAATTAATTATTCTAGAAATTATATCATTATAATAAAAATCAGAGGAAGCATTGAAATAGGCTGCCTATCACCATAACAATCAGACTGAAATTCAGACATGCTTTTGTCTTTTTACAGTTACATGTATCTTTAATGCATAAACCATTCAAATGTATTAACACTGTCGGGTGCAAACAGAATTTCTTATTTTCAAGCCAGCAGAGAGAAAGAGAAAAATGGGGTTTAACATCCACCCAAAATCAACTGTCATTTCAGGACTAACATATGGTACAATTTTTATTTCAATAATTTGCTTGTGCATAGGGGAAGGAAACAGGAGAACCCGGATAAAACCCAGGAGGTAAGGCAGGTGACACTACTCTTTGTCATGTACATGCTTAAGATTGAAACCACGTCAATGACAGATCTCATGATCTAAAGTGCATGCTTTACACCACTCGACCACCCAATCAACTTACCCCTTGTTACTATGTTATTATAAACGTCTGCCATATTTTCTGGGTTCCACTGTTCTCCTGCATCAGCAAAACCATGGAATAATTCTTCTAAATTTTCACCTTCACCTTTTGATAAACCAAAATCTCCATATTTCAAAGCTCCTGTTGTATCCAGTAAAACCTATTCATAACCAAAAGACATTTGTTAGACAAATTTACAAATACTGGTACATAAAATTAGTTTCATCTAAGCTTTTCTGTGTTTTTTCTTGAGCTAATTTATTCATTAAAAAACTCCTCACATAAAGGAGAACTGGCATCAGAAGTTCAACAAAGAATAAGCACACCCTGTCCCTCCATGACACCCACTAGAATTGTTACCTTAGAGGGCTGAAGATCGTTGAATATTATTCCTAGTGAATGAATATGATGTAAACCAACAACCAAATCTACACCAAAACTACGAACAGAACTCTCCGGTAGACATCCATCTTGAGAAATAATACTGGATAATGTTCCTCCAGTACATAACTCAACGACCAGCCACAGATGATTGCTGGTTTCATACCATTCGTAAAACTGCACGATATTAGTGTGACTTATGTCATGTGTCATACGAACCTGAAAAAAATTAAAATCCATCATTTTCAATTTTATCACGATTGTCAATACCATTAGAAGTAAATTGTTTAATAAACATTCATCTACAGTACTTTTGTTCTGTTAAACTGGATGGAAATAAATACAAATCCTGATAAATATTAAATAATGGTCTGATTGAAGGTTAGAGGCCAAATTCCAGTTTGTAAAGCAGTATGTGGCGACAGAATAGTAGTTCTATAATATAAGTCTAGACAATAACTTACTGTATTGGTTACTTCTGGTCGTTTACATTTATCAATACAGTGAATGGCTACAAAATGTATCGTTCCTTTTCGTCTTCCTTTATAAATAGTCACATGTTCCTTCTTCCCTAAACTCTCATATAATACAAAGTTCTCCATTTTGATCAAATTAACATTCAACTAATAAAAATAAACAAATAACAATTACTTGTACAAAATCATGAGGAAGGAGAGGGGAGGGAACGAATGATTAATGCATGCTTGTTACATCATTAGGTCTTTTACTGAGTCAAGAGGCGTTGGTTTTGATTCTCCACTTGTACGTGACAAGGTGTAGGGTCGCCTGTCTAACCTCATAGGGTTTTCTCCGAGTTGTCCTGTTTCCTCCCACCGCTATAGACCCCTAGGCAAACGCGAATTAATGAATTAAAAATGAACTGTATGTTGGTCCTGAAATGACACAAACTAGGTCATTTCGGGACTAACATATGGTTTAATTTTATTTCAATAATTCGCTTGCACGTAGGGGTCTTTAGCAGTGGGAGGAAACCGGAGGACCCAGAGAAAACCCACGGACAGACGACCATACTCCTTGCCACATACAACCGGGGATTCTAAACCATGCCAGTTGACTCAATGACAGGCCTTATGTCATACAGCATGCACGTGCTAACCATTCGGCCATCCACCCGGCCCTCCCCCCACCACCAGACTTGAACATGGTTGTATGATGGTTATAGTGCTTAAATAAAATAAACCAACTGACAATTCAACCACATCAACGAAAAATGCATTAATCTATTTATCATTTTTGTCTTTGCCTCTGGCCTAGCTGAGTAGGCTAATTCTAATTGTCTAATTCTCACTCATCATTTCACTTTATTTCAGACGTCAAAGACAAAACTATTATCTATGGTTGCACGGAGCCTACTGTTATCTCAACCTATACAGATATAATGGCACTGTGTATGTTGATTGATCAAATGATCAATTTCAAACAATATTTTCATATTTACAAATTAATTTACCAAACATGTTTATTCTTCGCAACCATTTATTTACAATGGTGGAGGTCCGTTTGGTGCCTAAAATATCTATCAGAGGATTTCATTGGTCAATTTGGAAGAAGCATTCCATAATCAGCCAATCATAACGGTTCTTATTGATCTTACAGAAGAGCTTTTAAAGAGAGATAAATCTAATTGAAAAGTAATATTTTGTCAAGTTGAAAGTCAAAAAAACGTGTGTTTAGTTTTTATTAATTTGTTGTGTAAAGGGGAGAATGTATTAACTAATGCCCAGAAATTATTTTTTGTCATGCTACATTATTATGTCTTAGTTTATCAAATTATGTTTCACTTCGTCGAAAAGGGCATAGATCGCATCGGAATGTGCAACTCGATCGCCCCCACCCCCCACAAAGATTACTCGCACTTTGGTGCTAGACATCTGCCCCCCCCCCCCCCTTCCCCTCAACTAATCCTTAGTTGACATGTCCCAGCCCTATAATTTATTGTTTTTCTATCATGCCACATTATCTAGGAAAAAGTAACAAAAAGAAAAGTCAGGCCTTTAATCACTTTAACCAAAATAATAAATGAATTTAATAATAGTGTACTTGTAGTACATTAAAATAACCAGAGACTCATCTTATCGAAAATCCAACAACTGACCTAAAACAGGATTAAAATCGATAACGTTCATAAACATAAACTTATATTTAAATTACCTGTACCGGTGTGTCTGTGATGGCTTGGCAGACCGCACTCAGTTTTTGCACTTCCCAGATGTATCTGTATATATATGTTACAGTCAATGTGTAAAATCAGTCAATCTGTAGATTGACTGGAATTTTTAGTCATTCTGTAGATTGACTGATTCACTCAGTCATTCTGTAGATTGACTAAAAAAATCAGTCAATGTACAGATTGACTGGAAATTTAGGCGGATTTCTAGACAGATTGACTAAAATGAATTATTCTCACTAATGGAATCACATAAGGCTATCAGATTATTTAAAGTCTATCAGATTATTTAAAGTCTATCAGATTATTTAAAGTCTATCATATGATCTGTTTTGATAATAGATTGGAAGCCAAAGTTTTAACTCTTTCTTAATCCTTAATTTCTTAAGATATCAGGTATGGTTAATTAGTTGATTGTTTGAATAACAAATTGGAAGCCACAGTTAGAGTCCTTATGACAAGTCCTGCTCTCTACTTGAAGAGCTGAAAGAAGCTGGTTCTACCAAAAGTAAAACACCTCGTCAGTATTACATCCTTGGTCGCTATGAGATATTGCAGTGTGGTGACGTGAAAAAGTTAATCAGGAAACGCAATACCAATGATGATGAGCCCATTTACTTTACACATATCGATGATATGTTTGACATTGTTAAGAGAGATCATATTTCAACTGGTCATGGTGGCCGAGATAAAATGAAGCAATTTTTGAAAAAATATGCCAATGTGACCCGCGATGCAGTAGAATTGTACAAGTCACTTTGCGTAGAATGCCAGAAGAAACGTAAACGCATCACAACCAAAGGAGTAGTGGTTAAGCCCATTCTATCAAAGGACTTTGGATCACGAGGCCAAGTAGACCTAATTGACATGCAGTCAATGGCAAGTGGCTCATCCCGATGGATAATGGTCTACCAAGATCATCTCACTAAATACTGTGTACTACGTCCATTAACATCCAAACGTGCTGCAGAAGTTGCCTTTCAGTTGATGGACATTTTCCTATTACTCGGAGCACCTCAGATTTTGCAAAGCGATAATGGATCTGAGTTCACGGCATCCGTTATCACAGAGCTGAAACTTCTATGGCCTGATCTTCTCATGGTGCATGGTAAGCCAAGACATCCCCAGAGTCAAGGTTCAGTAGAACGTTTGAACTGTGACGTGAAGGACATGCTCACTGCATGGCTAGGGGACAACGACTCAACAGACTGGCCTATGGGACTTCGCTTTGTGCAATTCCAAAAGAACAGCAGCTACCACTCTGGAATAAAGCAATCACCATACAAAGCCCTGTTTGGAAGTGAAGCCAAAGTTGGATTGCGCTCGAACACCCTTCCAACAGAAATACTTGAAAGAATGGTCTCTGAAGAAGACCTTCTTGCAGCATACTCAGCCCCATCATCAGAGAGAGAAGCTACTAGCCATGTAAAACATCAAGATGTGAGTGAAGCTACTGGTACCATGCAACCTGATACAGCAGACCCTGAAGATTCAGAGCTAAGAGTGAATCAACAGAACATCGAGGTCCAGAGGAAAAGAGCAGTGGATGGTCAGCTTTCACAAGCTGAACGCATGGTCAAACGTAGTCGATTAGAGCATGTCGCTGGCAATCCGGGTGACAATGTGACCATCCCTATTCCATTAGTTGATCGTGGTAAGGGTGACCCTCGCAACATAATGGGTGTCATTGTAGACAGGAACGAGAATGACCTGTATCGTGTTGCTGTCAAGGCTGGGATTCTTAAGGGACACTATAGCAGAACTCAGTTCGACCTGTGCACCAATAAGCTGTTTAACATTGAGGACATGTCCAGGGATGTTGAAGTTGGTCTACGCCAGGCAGTACAGAGTGAATCTCGATGCGGTGGCCAGGGATATGCTAAATGCAACTGTGCAGCGAGTGGCAAGCAATGTCAGACCAACAGATGTAAATGTTTCAAGTCAGGCGTTAAATGCAACAGCAGGTGTCACTCCAGCACCACATGTCCAAACAAGAACTGAAGTCCTCCATGATATGTCAAGCATCCCATTCACAACAGTAACTGAAATCATACCTGATATGTGAATAAAACTATGAACATCTACATAACTGTTTGTTTTGTTTTAATGTTTTTGACTCATTAGTGAGAATAATTCATTTTAGTCAATCTGTCTAGAAATCCACCTAAATTTCCAGTCAATCTGTACATTGACTGATTTTTTTAGTCAATCTACAGAATGACTGAGTGAATCAGTCAATCTACAGAATGACTAAAAATTCCAGTCAATCTACAGATTGACTGATTTTACACATTGACTGTAACATATATATATCATATAGTGTACACAAATTCAAATGATTTTTGTTTCAGCCTGGTATTATGTAATTATAATTATTTTTTATTTACTGTTTCTGTTTTGATTTTTTTTTTTCAGTAAAAAGTTTGACCAAGAAAAAAGCCTGATCTTTAAGACCACTTTTAATGGAGTATTCACTGAAGTACAAAATATGACTGGCTTAGTTAACCGGATTTCACTGAATTTGAAAAACCCACAGAAAGGCTTGGTGGGATGGTGGCTGGTAATCAAGTTATTAAATGAATAAATATTTTTATTGCTGGGCTATGGTAGCTCTGTTACTTGTACTTGCAGGACAGAAAATTAGGATAACAGAAAATTAGGCCCACTCAGACGAAAGATCCGCTGTGGCAAGTGTCAATCTCATTGTCAATGCAATGGCCCCATAAAGACAATTAATGTACGCTCGTAATAAATGAATTGCTTCATTTCTCACTTAGTTTATGTTTTTTTATGTTCTCAAAATGAATTTTTTGAATACCTTTATCCATAGACGATTTCACACATTAGGAAGAGGACCAAGGCAGCTCTCAACAGCCCTGGTTCTTGGTTTTATGCCCTCAAGATATGTAACATATAGCTATATTTCCAAGGTAGCCCGAAAATTTATTTAGCAGAGGCAAAATAGCTCAGTTCATGTTTTACAAGAATTGAATAGATGGCAGCTATTGTTTGACATGGAATTGAATTCCGTCACGGTTCGGCCAGTCTCCAAAACATGGGTGTTGTGAACAGAATCATGACAAAATCAAACGTTTCAGCTATGGTGATTGGTCAAGATAGTATCATATTTGGTTGCTGCCTGCTATTTCACTCGTAATTCTAGTATTTACTCGGTTGACACTTTTTGAGGAACTGAGATAATTCAATTCTGGAACATTCAATTGAATGTCTGTGTATTGAGAAATTTTTCACACTTATTTTCATCTTTGTTTCAGAATTCTGCATTTAAAAAGCGTAATGCATATTTAGAAGAAAATGCTGCTCGTTTGTGTAATATCCAACCTGATCACAAAGTGCTAGAAATAGGATTTGGTCCTGGTTGTGGGTTGGAAGCAGCATACAAATATGTAAAGGGTAAAATAAAGATTATTTCTTTTACTTATGGCCAAGTCACAGTCTTGTTCAATTCTTAGTTGCTCAGATGGTGTGCACATGAAAGAACCCTTGACAGTTTGAATTTGAAATAAGAGTAGGACGCAGAGCCTCTGTCCGGGCAAAATTTCCCTTTTATAGCACACTGTATGACTTATGTCCATTTTCATTAGTCCAGATGGTGCAGAAAAGTAGAATGTTAACCCCCTTTTTATTAAATTTATCTAATTCTGCGAATTAATTCAATTTTCTGTTGCTCCACTTCATCTTTGACTAAAGACATTTATTTATAATGGTCAGATTGTGATTCATCCACACCAGATTAGCTACCCACAATACTAAAAATAAGCTCTCCTTAATTTGCAAAATAATCACTCCTGAAAATGCTTATCCAGTTTAGACAAGGTGAGGGATTTGGTAAATAAAGGGAGCACCCTAGTAAGGAGAGTAATTCTCTTTGCTTATAAGAGTCTATATAGCCATGACTTCATTCATGACTTTTGCAGTTTTATAGTGCTTTTTAGAATCTGATTTGTACTGTAATCCTACATACAAAGATATACAAAGGGCAAAATTATGCCAACATGTCATGCTTTTTTTTTTTTTACTGTATTTCAGAGGGAAATGGAAAAATTCATGGAGTAGACATATCAGAATATATGGTAGAATATGCCAGTAAATCATGTCATCAATTGATTCAACAAAATAAACTCCAAATTTTGTTAAGCAGTGTGCATCATATGCCTTTTAATACGGACACCTTTGATAGGGTATTTCATGTAAACTCCTATTATTTCTGGCCCTCTATGAAACATTCTTTACGGGAAATTTATCGTGTGATGAAACCAGGTGCTATCATGGTAACAACCCTTAACTTAAAAAGACTGAAAATTTTGCAATCGAAAGGATACTTTAAGCATGGAAACATCGATCCTCTGAAATACATGGTAGCGCTAGAAAAAACTGGTTTTGAGAATGTTCGAATTGAATACCTTAAGGACAGTCTGTACAAAGAAAAAAAAACATATCAAGCCATATTCGCGGAAATAAAAGAGAAGCCAGCGTATGATGAGGAATTTGAAGATGTGGAATATGAAGAGAATTTAGACATTAAAAACAATGAAAAATCAGATGATCCTTAACCTCTTTAATCGGCTCATCTTGACTTTTTTTAAAGGGGTGCAAGACTTTCCTCAGCCTGGTATTGAATTTTGGTAGTTTAAATGCTTTGCCATAGCCAGCTGCTTAACTATTTTTTGTGAATAGTGCTACACACAACCGTCCCAAGTACGATTTAGGTACCAATAAAGTAAATGTGTAGAACTTTGAACAGTTTTATGGGGAAATATCTTACCTGGTATTGCTGACCAGTGTAAATCAGGTCAAAGAGAAACTGATGGCGACATATAATATCGGTAGTGCAACAGTCATACTCACATTCTAATATATTGGGGATGCTCGATTGTCAGTACGGAACATTCCGAATTGGCGGAATCGCAATCGAGTGACGCGGGATTTAGTCCTGTTACATTTCTGTAAGTCCTGCCAACGGAGGTGGTGTGATTAGAATCGTGACGTAATGAAACACAACGAATATGTTTCAGCTCTCATGGTTGGTTGAGATATTTTTCTCATGCAGTTGGCGCATGTGTTCTAGCCCTGAAAGTTCAATTGAGCATCCCCTATGTGTTTTAGGTACCTCAGATTAACTGTAAATGACTTGGGGTCAAATATTACCATATCAATAAGCCTAGTTTTAAACAAGTGTGAAAGAGAGAGAAATGGGGTTTAACTTCCACTTGACTGAAACTAGCTCATTTTGGGACTAACACGTTTCAATTTTATTTCAATAATTCGTTTGCGCGTAGGGGTCTTTAGCAGTGGGAGGAAACCGAAGGACCCAGAGAAAACCCACGAGGTTGGACAGGTGACCCTACTCCGTGCCACATACAACTGGGGAATCAAACCACACCAGTTGACTCAATGACAGACCTTGTGATACAGCACGCACACGCTAACCATTAGGTCAGTACAAGCGTACTGTGGACCAAGAACCGAGCATAACGTTATCGCTGCCCTCTTGGAATTGTAATGCCATATCAAAAATGTTAGTCTACCAATCACTGCACAATTGTTCAAGGAACAAACATGCCAAGTATCATGTTGATCGTACATGAATTGGCTGAGCTTTAGGCTTGTTTCAAAGAGTGTCGCCCTCAAGAATAGGAAGATGAATAGCGCTTCGGGACAAATTCCTGGTCCAAAAGAAAACAAGATGATGAATTTGGTATCTTCAATGTTTATTTCCAATTTGATTCTGACTTTGATAAAAATGATTTATAAAGAAATGAGGTATGATATATATATATATATATTATATAAAGAAAGTTAAATAAGAACTGGTGGTATTCTATTTATATTAATTACTTAATTAGCTTCGATAATTAATAAATATACAATCTATTCAAATGCTGATTTACATTATGCATCCGTTCAATTAATATTAAATTCTAATTATTGTGCAATAAAAAAGATCTAAGCACAAGAAGTCGAGTTTTTGAGTGCTGTACTAAACTCTATACAAGACAAAAAAACGAGACAAAATATCTCATAAATTGTAGCATAATGGATTAAAACTGAAAACAAATGGTGTTTTTTACTGAAGATTTGTGGAAGAAGGGTCTAAGCATGTCTAGAAACATTAAAATCAGGGGAATTCATTCCGTTTATTTGATTGGTCACCCCATCAACATGTTTAAGACAAGTGGATATGAGCCTGTTAAAGACAGCATAAAAGTACCCTTGACCTTTGCATCTGTATCACAGATATTTTTATGTTACTGATCTGTTGTCGAGTACACCCTGTATTGAAATGTCTTTAGACAAAGATGAAGTGGAGTAAACAATCAGAAAATAAAGGGACCGAAATGTTGGTTTTTGAACCGCTAATATTGAACAAATGAAGACAGGTAAAAGCTAGTTTGAGAATCATAAGTGAAAATTCTCTAACAGGACTTATTTTCTGTTTGGGATCACTCTTTAAATTTGTTGTATTTTAAACCCCATGACTGGTTATGAGTGTCTAGTTGATTGAGATAGAAGACAGGCTAGGATAAGCAATTGTATATTTGTAAGCCAAAATGGTCTGCTTTTCACTAATTTTCTGTAGAAATTGCATGCACAGGTAAACCTTGCTATTTATTCTACTCTAGTCATGTCTAGGGGGGTCTAGGTGAATATTTCTAAAAAGATCCCTTCAGAAAATGAAATCTTAATTTCCTTGGTTGAATTAATTGTGAAGTATTATTAACATTTAGTGTCAATCAATCACAGAGATACAGCCGTTTTAACTTAAAATTTTCTTTGCATTTTTAAAGAGTCTTGCAAATGCTCAATATAAATAACTTCATTCTCAATATTTCACTAATTCGAATTTTCAATATTTCCTTAAGAGTGATAATATCTCTTTAAAATTAAAATTCAACATGTTTTACATGGTCTTTAATCAAAAGGATATCCTGTTTTGTTTATAATAACTGTGTTGCATTAATTACAGATATATCGTCTAATTTCATTCTTTTATTTGTCATGGATGTCTGTTAAAAAAACAAAACAATTTGTATTTTAGTTCTTCAAGTGCACCTATTAAAACACTATATTTTGTTTCTTTGAGAAATTTATGGAAAAAAACAACAAACAGATATGCCTACTTAGTTTCTCTTCTCCAAAGCTGTTAGCTCCAGAATTTTATGTTTGAAATTTTAAAGAAAAACAAAACGCGAGACTATAAATTTTGTCAAAATCCCGAAAAACTGAAAAATAAATTGGTTTGACCTAAATAGCTATAATTGGTGCATTTAAAGAAAAAAAAAACCCCAGAAAAATAGACAGTGTTAAAATATTACATACTCAAAAAGAGACAAAAGATCCTCATAATATTATGATAAGACCTTTTAATAAGAACATAATTTATTCATAATAAAGAGGTCAACTTTACACTTGACTTTTTGACCCTATAATCACATAACTAACATAAAAGTTATACAATAAAGGAAAAGGCACAGCCTTATATTGAACCGGTAAAATTGTCATTATTATCAATGGAGCCTTAGTCATGAAAATTTAAACTAAAATATTTTAAGAATGCAGCCTTTTCATTGGCTGAGAGCTAAAATAATTTCTAAGATGTTAGTAAACATCCAATGAAAGATAGCATTCTTAAATTATTTCAATTAAAATTGTCTTGATTAAGGCCACTGGAGCCTTATTCACAAAAAAGAAAAAACCCACTGAAATCTATGACACATAAATAATATAACAATAAAATAAATATGTATAATTTGGAAAAATAAGCTTCTATTATTAGCATAAGGTTGTCATTCAATTGATCTAGCATTATTTGGGCTGAACACAAAAATTTCCTTACATGTTGCTTAATGAAGCCTATACTTGATACAATGTGGTGTTAAACAATTGTCACCATTTTTTTTTTTTTACCATTATAAAATTAATTATTATCTGCAGTCTTTAGTGGATATCACAATAATAAATAAGTCATATAATAATATTTGGATTGTTTTATGTGATTTTTCTATTTCTCCAGCCGAAAAGTCTCTGCTTCAACTACAACAAATATTGGTCCGAACAAAACAGTGTGCACTAGCTATTTTCGTATGACTGGTGGGGAGAAAAAATGGGTTTAACATCCTACTTTTCTGCACTAACTGGGCCAATGAAAACAGGTCTTTGCCTTTCATGAAGTATGCGAAATGCACTTTTAATTGGTGGAACTGGACATTTCATGCCATCTATACAAATAATATTCACAGTAGTGGAAGCAGGGACCATTTGTACTGGAGGCTATGACTTTTCTGTGAATGAATTCTGGAGGAATCAAGACTACGATTTTCTGTGAATGAATTCTGGAGGAATCAAGACTATGATTCTCTGTGAATTAATTCTGGAGAAATCTAGACTGATTTTTCTGTCAATAAATTCTGGAAGAATCAAGGTTATAATTTTACTGTGAATAAATTCTGGAGGAATCTAAGACCATGATTTTTCTGTGAATAAGGCTCATTATGCAGCAATAATATAAGTAAATATATCTGTAATATAATATATATATTATATAAAACACTATGTTACAGTTTAAACGTTATACTATATACAAAAAAACTTTTAATAGAAAATAAAAGACAATAAGCTTACGGTGTATATACAATAATAAACTATATACAAGGCAACTAGGTTTCTTCTGTCTACAGAGATGCATGATTTAATTCAGTACTTAATATACCATCACATTCTATTACTACATGTAGCTATCAATCAGATGAATATTCATTAACTCTCTTTTTACCAATGAATTTTACACCAACACTCCAAACATGACAAAGGAAACAAGTGTAGAATAGAGTGAGGAATTGCAGAGTAGTCTGGGTTAGCCAGACAATTTTTCCATTGTATTAATATTACTATTTCAGGACTGGTTAAATTTCATGACAAATAAAATAGAAAGTTGAGTAAATAAACCGAAAAAACTGTATAAACATGAAACATAAATATATGTATATCATATTATGCTATAGGGTTTTTACCTTCAGGTCCAATTACAAGTATGTTCATTAAACTAAACAGTCAAGAATTTCTCATAGAATATGTGATGTTGAAGTACCATTGATTTATTTAAGGATTTTAGGTCTCTCCCATGGTCCACTACTTACATACCCTTAGTAAGAATGGAGCTATAACTGTTGTATTAATGCCCCAAAAATATGGATAAAACAAAGCAACTATATCTTTTGTGTTGCAATACCAGCCTATATCAAAATAATTTAACACTTCATATCACATGATACAACTTGACAGTTCATCAAATATCGATTTATCTCTAATTTAATTAAGGCAATGAAAGCTGTATTTTTACCAAGGAACATGTAATAACTGGGCCCACGTGAAACCATGATTATATCCGTATACACCATATCTTAAATAATACATAACTCTCATTAACAAAACAATAAAATCACCAAAATAGATATCCTATTATCTCTCTAATAAACTATAAATTTGTTATTTGTTAATTTACTCAAATTATTTTCAATGATGTGACATTTAGGAAGGATAACATTATACAATAGTTTCTCATATATATATACAGGCCTACATGCATATAAATGTTGTTGGCAGGATTTGTTATAAAAGAAACTTAAAAGTATCTGAACGTAATTGCAAACTACAATATTGTCAAGAAGTTAGAATCCCAAAAAATGATTCAAATCCATTCAGTTTTCACAAAGAAATAATGAATTAAAAATTTGTCAACATTCAATATCGTCTGAAGAAGATATGGTGAATGAAAAGTCAGCACCCCCTGTAATCTTCTCTAAAATCTTTGGACAGGTCTCTTTTTAACCAGACTAAATACAAGCCGGGAGGTTATCTACCATTAATATCTTGATTTTGTAGGGTTTTTTTTTATTAATTAAATGTTAAATAATCAATCTGAGAACATATTAGCCTGGATTCCCCCCAAAATTGCAATTGACGGCCAGAGACTATAAAGAGACCAACGGGATAATTCAAAAATTTTTTTTTTTTTTCAGAATGAAAAATTGGGTATTATTCATTTCAATGAAATCTTATTATTTATAAGATACATGTATTCTAAAGAATTCTTGAAGTCTAATTTATATCTAAGGCAACAGTAGTGATATTCAATAGAATAATCAAGTCATCATTTATGCTAGGTTTCACCGTATATTTGCATAGACCTATGATCACATAATTATAAACTAAAGAGAAAATGGACGGACTACATTATTATAGTCAGTTATAATGTGTACCCCAATATTTCAATATCATCCACAAATGGTTCTTGATTAAAACAAAAACATGTTTTTATTTTCAAATACTTTTAAATATATAAATTTCCTTGCATAATTAAACTACATTTGGTGGCTTGTTGTAATTTAAACAAATCATAACACGAACGAGACCATGATATTATCATCCTAATCTATTATTGTCAATTACTGTTGATTATTTTATTGTTTTAATGGACGTTTGAAAATATCGCCCATTTACATTGCATTACCAATCTACTATGAAGGAAAACATTATTTATTTTCTATTGCATCAGGAAATGTATCATTTGTATTGGTGGTAAATACGCAACTCAAATTATGCATAAATATTTAAAATTCTATAGTAGCAAAATATAAATTTGACATTAAACAGTACAAACATTTCAAAACAGGGTAAAATGTTAGGTTTATACGAGAATTTGAATGTCCCTGAAGTCTATTGTGTCCTTTTAAAAAGTAACTGTTTGATCTAGTATTCATCTATATGTATACAATGTAAATATTTCATTATTATGCTGTATTAAAACTGGCCTCAAAGAATACATCATTTTACCTACAATATTAATCATTCCTGTAACATTGCCTAGCTAACTATTACCAGTATCTTCTTCTCAAACTTAATACTACCTTTCCATTGAAGGAGAGATCAAATCCTTCTTTCCACTATCTGTCCAATACCAATCTGATTAAAATACACATCTATATTTCGTTTCGTTTTTTTATACTTTCGATGGCCACCCATTACATGAAGATCTGACCGGTTGCGGTGGAAGGTCAAGTCAGAGGTCATACGAGTGGCTTTTGATCAATTAATCAGCGTTGAAGTTTCTAGTGGTTTACCCACCATTCCATGCATTGGCCAAGAACTCGCCGTACTAACAGACCGTTTCATTGGCTAATCCCTCACTCAACCAGAACGCCGGTAATATAACAATTCTTCCAGATCATAGTGTAGTAAAGACAATTTTGAATTATATAAAATGAAACGAAATAGGATCTGTGTTTCAATCAGATTGGTCCAATACTAGGGTTTAAGTTCAAGAAGTAGTTCTATCGTAAATTACACATAGAAAAATTAAAACTGAGGTAAATATCTGTTGTGTATTCCACTCATTTGAGAATTCTCGTTCAGTTTGACCCATAAAATGCATATATACTTATACCTTGTAAACTACAATATGGCTTCAGCTGAATCTCTAAAAAACCAATACCAGTTCACCATTTACAAATACATGATAAATTGAAAATTTCACACAATTTTGTAGACATTATAAAGAAGCCAGCAAGAACTATTAAGTGTTGGGTTTAATCTGTTGGTTTTGTTTTCTTAATCAGATGTTGTTATATGATCAATCTAAGTACATTATAGTTGTTATATGATCAATTGGAGTACATTATAGTTGTTATATGATCAATCGGAGTACATTATAGTTGTTATATGATTAATCGGAGTACATTATAGTGGGGATTAAGCCATGATAAATGAGGTTTTGTCCAAAAAATGTCAATAATGATCAGTGGTTTTAATGATGTTATTGTTAACACTTTATAATCTATTTAAATGACCACATAATAATGGTCTAATTTTAAAATGATTATGCACCCAGATTTTTTTTTTTACTTTATAATGTGTGAAATAGCTTTATTTAACATCCGCTTCCACCGAAGTGATATCGCAGACATATAATAATGGTCTAATTTTAAAATGATTATGCACCCAGATATTTTTTTTACTTTATAATGTGTGAAATAGCTTTATTTAACATCCGCAGACAATTTTATATACTGGTACTATGCAGTAAGGGTGTGTAGGAGGAGGGTGTGATAAAGGCGTGCATGATAAAAAGAATTATATATATTTACAAATATTCATTGTCTATACTATTTTCAGTATTTAAAACTGTCTCTAGCACTTTTTCAGCAAGTTAACTTTATAATATATATAATCACAATAGCATGGTTATAATTCATCCAGTAAATATAAAAACAAAAACAGAAAAAAAATTCATAACAATATTCAGCACTATTATTAGTTTTAAATTAAAACAAATGAGATGTCTGTTCATCCAGCCTTTTGATTTCCTTCACAGCAAAAAAAATAAGAATAAAACAACACGGGAAAGCTTTGGCACACTCTCAGCTCATTTGATCTTGTGTTCAAATGTAATTCATTGTTTTTATGTTATCCGAGAATCTGCTTAATCCTTTCTGCGAACAAGTTAGAAAACAAGTATTCAAGAAGAATTCCTATTGGTTGCCATTTGTTAAGCACGCTATGTTTGATCAATCATAACACAGATAACACTTTAACGATAAACTATCCTTCTTCACTGACTCTAACTCCTGAATTCGTTCCGTCTCAAGCTGTACTTGAATTCCACAAAGCTTTAACTAGAGTCGTCTCCCTTCTCTGGATACTGACACAATCTTGACACTGAACTTGGTGTATCTCCTATTATAATAGACGAAAAACACTACTCTCCAACACAAACAGTCAGATTACACATGTGTATTGTACAGAGAATGTCTGCATATAAAACTCATGTTTACATTTAAACATTATGTTTGTTTCAAGGTTTTTTGGATTTTCCATTGATTTTGCAAAAAGTCTTGGCATTTCTATGCACAATATCATAATCACTATGTTCCGTCGTGTACAAATCTATGTTTTAGCAGATCATCGGCAGACGGACGATCAGCTTGAGTTCTTTGAAATGCATGTGCTAAAAATTCCTTGGCCAAACTGGTCACATTTTTTGGTAGTTCGTATTTTGGATGTTTACATGTTGCTATTTGAAACATTGCAGCAAAAGGTTCATATTCATGGAACGGAGGTTTAGAAGAAAACATCTCAACAATCGTACAGCCAACACTCCTGAAACAAACATAAAATAGATATGTCAAAAACAGAAATGTTTATTAGGACAATACTTACAATATCACAGCTGGCTCTGTTTATTCTTACAGGAAGTAGATGACAGACATTTTGTCAATTTCTGACAAGATATCTGTAGTAATAATACATCCCCGAAGCAATAGTAATGAGCAAACTCGTAATTCTAATTTTCATTCATAGTTATTATTTGTATCTTTCCAATCATGTTAATGAAGTAGCTCAAATCAACAATATTATTTTAAGTACAAATCATCCAGTTTTTCAAAATACAAAATATTCTGTAATGACAAACATCTCTTTTTTTTTCACCAATTGGGTAAGTGAAGACGAGCATATGCCTGTAAAGGTTTCTTTTGCGTGCACAACAACAAGTACACATCTCATCCAAACAACTTTTTTTTGGACCACTAACAAGGGGAAACCAGGCTGGAAAATCGTGAGATCTTTCTCAGCCAACAGCCGGCATCAAACCCGGGACCTAGTGAGCCAAGGCCATACTCACTGAGCCACTGTGGCAACTCTGTAATTTTAAAAGTGTATTAAATTGTTTTACCAGATATCAGCTTTACGACCATAACCTTCACCATTGATGACTTCAGGTGCCATCCAGTGTGGTGTTCCTACAGCTGTCTTTAAGCCAGTAGCACTACGAATTGTCTGAAGTCGTTTAGAGGCACCAAAATCTCCCAGTTTTATATTGCCTTGAGTATCTCTTAAAACATTAGCAGCTGAAACAGAGAATAGTTTTGGCTCAATATTTAAATCTGATACATTAACACAAGGTAAATAAGCCATTTCTTTACATGTTTGCATTTGATTTGCAGACTTAAATCAAAAATATTTCGGCAATAGCATTCAAGTTAAATTTCTAGGTAACTTTACACCCACTGTCACGAAGTATTACATCTCAATGGGATAACTCTGATTAACAGTATACCACTAACCTTTAATATCGCGATGTACAATGACGTTTTTATGAAGATACGATAAACCTAGTAACATCTGTCTCGAATACTTTTTAACAATTGGTTCCTGAATACTACCAATTTCATTGATTAAATCTTTTACTGAACCCTGCAAATACAAAATCAAATCAATCTAAATGTTTTAGTTTTATTTATACTAAAATGAAATGAAACTTTACATTCTGGTCAAGGTTAAACCACTCTGCATCAAAGTGTTACATACAGATCGTGAGTAGAGCAATCCAAAATCAAATATGGCTACACGTTGTGTCCAGGTCTCTTCTTATATTGGAGCTAAATTATTTGGCTGTGGAAATGTCCGAAGGCCAATGCTTTCTTCTTACTGTTCAAAATTCAATAAGCAGACTAAGGCGACAAAATAAAAATATGAGAATTTTTTGTGATATGCTTCGGAAACAAAACTGGAACAGCCAGACGGACGACTCCCATTTCAATATCCCTGCCTAACTTTATTGGGTGCTGGATAATAATCCATAAAGAACTCACCCCAGGCATATATTCTATAAATATTGATAATACTTTATCTTCATTCTGACATCCATAATATTGAACTATTCTCTCATCTTGAAAATTCTTCAGCAGATGTAATTCATTCTCTAAGGCTCGTACTTCCTGTAAAATAATATAAAAATTTGATAAAAAGACTAATTAACATTATCAAAAGACTGGTTATTTGAGACAAACAATTTTTATTTTCTATGAATATGTGTGAAATACTAAGGAGCGAGTCGAGAAATCAGGACTTTTTAGCTGCTCGTATGTCACACCATAAGTTTTGGCCTTGGCGAGTCGGAATCATCAGAACACAAGCTGAATATGTAATTCAGTACAAAGGCAGATCATTCAACTCAACAACATATGGTTACCTTTGTTTTGAAGTAAACTGTAGAACCAAGAGGAAACCCAAGTTTACTCATTGTGATGTAAAAGCTTGGGATCTAACCCACAACACTTGACTCAATGACAGTCAACCAAACCATAAAATGATGTCACTTTGTCAATAAAGTTCACTTGCTGGATTTAAAGTTTATCTAGTCTAGTTTCTTACCTTGGAGGTTTCAGCATTAAGATTACCGAGTTGAACCATTTTAACAGCGTATTCATGACCTGTATCCATGTCATAACATTTATATACCTCACCAAACGCACCCATACCTAATAACTGACCTTTCTTCCAATTACTTGGTGTACGCGGAGCTGAAAATATACCAATACACAACCACATTACTTTTATTAAATTGTGATCAAAACTCAAAAACATTGGGGGGGGGGGGGGATTAACCCAGATTAATTTCTCAATTTATACTTGTACATGACATCTTTACCATTTCATTAATCATGCAATATACAGACATCATTAAACTATCGAAAAGATATGTTCATGACAGGATGACATACTCCTGATCAATGGTGAGCTAAAAAACCTGAACTTGAGCTGGACAATGTCGGGTGACACATGGATTATTTAATTTACTTGCATTTTCATTTTATTATTCTTTACATAATTATCTCCCTTTAGTCAAAAATTTCATCCAAATGAAATATCAACAATTTTAAGTATCTCTATAACAGAAAAAATGTTTTCAAAGATTTTAAAAAATAATGATCATATTTAGTTTAAACAAGTAATGACGGAAACCTCTTTAGTTTTCTTGATAAATATAAATATGCATGTGATGACTTACATTTAGAGAAGTGTGGACCAGACAAGCTATACATAGTCGGACTCTCGATATCACTGTTCCGCTTCTTGAGATGTCCGCCAGGAGAATCCATATCAGGATCTGTGTATAATCCACTACTACTGCTGCTACAGTTACTAAGGGTACCCTCGCTACCACGCGACATCAGAGAGGACAAAGACGTTGTGTCAGAATCGGGACGACGGAAAGTTGAGCGGGGGAAAGTCTGACGACCTGAACAAAAAAAAAGAGACAACATATCAAATTAAGCACAGAGGAAGAAATTATGTTTTGACCTCCACTCTACATTACAGGTATGTCATTTTGGGACTAACAATAAGTCATTTGTGTACAGGAAAATTGAAAAACCCAGATCAAATGCTTGAATTAGGCCAGCAGTTATACTAATAGCAGATTTGCACGAAATTTGATATTCAGGTGCATTTAGTTGCTTATAATAAAACTCATGATATAACATAGTTGATTAGTGCTCACAATATTATTATACAATTCTCACAATATTATTATACAATTCTCACAATATTATTATACAGTTCTCACAATATTATTACATACAGTTCTTACAATATTATTAGAGAGTTCTCACAATATCATCCTAGTCATAACTACAAATCGTGTCGAATATTATCCTTGAGTGGCATTTAGCGATTGAGCACATTAAAAAACACAACACAATTTATATGGAAAACAATCAATGGTTTATACTAATTATACACATATAACACGACGTTTCATCAAGTATTTGAAAATGATTAGAGAATACTTGATTGTTTTCCATATAAACTGTGTAGTGTTTTTTCTTTTAGAAATCGTGTGTTGTACCGACATGAAAGTGGTTCCTTTAATCAGCTAGTACCGACATGAAAGTAGTTCATTATGTTCTTACACAACTTACAAGGGGAAACAAGTCTGGAAAATCTTGACTCCAAGATTAAACCCAGGACCTCCTTATTAGTGAACCAGCATCTGACACACTATGCTACTAGATACATACAAAAATAAAAGAATATTTACCCTCCACAGATGATGTATGAGCAATAGATTCCATTCCACGTGGAAACGTTCCAAAAGGTTTTTTTCCTGCTGTAAAAGAATATTTTCATTTCAGAATTTGAACACATATGCTGTCTTTACATCTGTTCACAGATGCTGAATACGTTTAAGTGTTGCAGGTAGAAAATCAGTAAACCCCAAAGACAAACACAAAGTTAGGATCAACCCCTGAAGAAAGTTTTGCATGAAAATCTTTAGATCTATCGAATTGTCCCATCTTTAGTTTTACTGTTCACAGATTACTGATGACTTACCTTCATCTTTGGCACTATCTGATAAAACACTTCTCCGTGAATCACGTCTTCTCAATGGATATGTTTCATTACTGCTATAAATACAGACATTATTTCATTTATTTGACATACAATGAAACCTGAAAGCCCCAACATCCAAGAATAAAGATTAAAATATAGAACATAGGATCAATACACAATCAAACATACTTTTATTAGCAACAACTTTTGAGCAATCCTTGTGGAAAAGGTGCTATTATACATTCTTAATAATAATAACATAAGTTATCAACATTTCAAGTTGCTATTGATTACACACTGAAATCTTTATCTCTTTACACATATTACTTGTGCTATCTGGGTTTTTTTTACAACCTAGCTTAGCCAGTCCAGTTTTCACATATTACAAAATGACAACAGCCTTTACATTAAATAATGACTTTTGAAATAGATGAGAATGATCGGACTTGCTCTGCCTTTTAACTCTGACTTTGTTTCATTTTAACTAGAAAATAAACTCACTGTCCGCTGATATAACTACTATCGATGGAAGATAAACTATTTACTGAACCATTATGACTTGGTGGACGCTGGAGATTCTAAAATATAAATAACACCACATTTCAATATGGGCGTATAAAAAGGAGCAACTACTAAATTAGGTTGAGATCACATGCTATCATGTTTCTCACAAACTGATGAATCTGATATATCAAAATACCGTAATAAGGAATAAGGAATTTGAAATCTGCTCTCTGTTGTTATCTCTGTGGCCATCAAATAGTAACATTTATTTGCTCATAGAAACATCAGGATATGGAACGTCATTTACTTATTTGATGGCCACAGAGATAACATAATTCTTAATACTTAAATAAATCAGATTCGTTGGTTCGTGAGAAACGTGACAATGGGTGCAAAGGTTCACAAATAGTAACATTTATTTGCTCATAGAAACATCAGGATATGGAACGTCATTTACTTCATGTTATTATTTGATGGCCACAGAGATAATCTAATTCTTAATACTTAAATAAATCAGATTCGTTGGTTCGTGAGAAACGTGACAATGGGTGCAAAGGTTCACAAAGATTGTGTGAATGGTTTATTTGATATGATCCCCAAAAAATTAATGAAATGAAGAAAGGCTGTATTATGTTCATCGTGCATAATAAGAAATAATCCTATATAGATAGTACAATTGTTATTGAAGTTTTCTTTTCTCTTCTTCTAGACAGTGTGTGTGTGGGACAGTGAATTGCATCACAGTTGGATGTTATTTTGACTCCATGGCCATCAGATTCAGATCACCCGAAAAGATATCATAGACACTGATGTAAACTGTTGCTGTCTCTGAATCAATCTGATCACTTGCTTTCTAATACTGTACAAACAATTTGGTTATGTTAGTCTAAAATGAAATGAAATGAAATGGGGTTTAACGTCCTACTGTTCTGCTCCAACTGGGCTAATGAAGACGGGCATACGCCATACAGTGTGCTATGAGGTAAATTTGGTCCGGGAAACAGCACTATGGCCTACTCTTATATCAAATTTGAACTGCCAAGGGATCTTTTACGTGCACGCCAATGCATACATGTGACCTCGGTTTTCCTTCCCATCCGAACAACTAGAAAGCAGGCGCTCCATCCTGCACCACTGACAAATAGAAACCACGTTGGAAAATCCTGACGAACTTTCCCAGCCAATGCAGGGATCGAACACGCGACTTCCAGTCTAGCGAGCCACCGTCTTACCCACTTAGCCACCGTGGCTTCCCTTATTTAACATAATTTTATTTCTCTGCAGTAACTGTGTGCTGATGAAGAAGGGTAAATCTGCTGTGTGCTATGAGAAAATTATGCCCTAATTTCCATTTCCAACTGGCTAGATCTTTCGTGTGCTACCAATGTTATATATGGGACGATCACTGTGCCACCCCTTCTAAACCATGTGAGATTTGGCTGAGACGGTTGGAGGAATATATATATAGATATCATCTTGTATCAGGATAGAACATAGGAAACAAACCGTTGACAATCTACTACTACTTCTTCATATTAGTCAAAGTTGAGTAATGAAAATTTTACTTCTGACTTCCTTTGCGGGATCATTCAAAGTCAAACATGGTTCAAACATGCTAGACAATTAGATCATCAAATTATGTGACTTCCCGTTTTAATTTATTTCTACTAATTTTATTCAAACAGTTGAAGTTATATCTAGTCTCTTATTATTATCAGCTGAATAGGGTTAAAGTCTTTAATGATTATCACTACCATCAAGTCATGAAAATCCTTCATAATATGTTATTAATAAGTCACAAAAATCTTTCATAAGTTTAATAAATTATAGAAATGTACTTACCCCTTCTAGGTAAGGTTCCGGTATAAATTGTCCCCCTTCCCCTATAGTAGGGGAATTAAAAGGACTACTATGGAAATGTTTATCGTGTGTCGGGATGTAACCAGGAGGCGGACTGGGTGAATGACGCGTCTAAAAAATAAAATGACATATATGTTTATGTACATAAACCAAAAGATTTCATAAAACAATTTCAAAATCTAATAAAAGTATCTTACAAACATCCTAAATAATTTGAACACTTAGCCATCTCCAAACCCCATTTTTTGTTTAAATAAAACTAAAAGACAGACACTACAAAACTTTCATATCAACCTAGCTAAAAACAAATGAGGATGACGAGTATGTATGTATTTAAGTCAGAATATGTTCGTTTAAAGGTCACATGATTCATTCTTGTACTTCCTCAATCACTTCCACTACACAAAACACAAAACCACTTCAAACACTACAATATAACTACAGACTCATGCTAGTTGTTCATTAATATAACATCTAATTTGAGATCCAAGTTCTTTCCGTATTTGAATATCATTAAACAATCTGATTAAAATACAGATCTATATTTCGTTTCATTTTTTATATACTTTCGATGGCCTCTACTACATGAAGATCTGGCTGGTTGTAGTGGAGGTCGCATCAGGGTTCATACGAGTGAGGACGTTTCTTGTGGATTTCGCATAGTTCTGTGCACAGCACGCCTAGAAATCACAGTAACAGACCGTTTTATTGGCTAATCCCTCACATCAATCAGAACGCAGTGTTATATATAAAACTCTTCCAGATCTTAGCGCAGTAAAAACAAGTAAAACGAAATTTTGAACTATAAAAAAAACAAAACGAAATAGGATCCGTGTTTCTAATCAGATTGATAATTAAATTCATGTCAATTTTTAATAAAGCAATAAAATTGAACTTTTAAATTGTAAGTGACAGGAGTAAAACTGTGTCGATGTACGTCAAAAATAATAGCCATACTAATTATTTAATGTAAAATAATTAGTTGTTAAATGTAGGATGAACTAGGGTAATATTCCAAATTTGTTCTCGGTTCATTTGAGTCAAGTTCTATTTAAAAGAAATACAAGACAATAAACAGAATCTCTCTTCACACATGGTGATAATCTGATAATAATCAAAAACTTTTGTCAACCTTTAGACTATTTAAAACATAATGACACTTACTGCAACAGAACGAGATGAAGAATTTTCTGTAATGGCTGGTTGTGTTAAATAAAGACGAAGACTACTAGTATTTTCATTCTGATCAACCAGTTGTACAGCACTCTCTACATCCTTTTGGCAAGTTAAAGGTACATAAATCTGAAAAGACAGAGAGAACCATATTAAAAGAAATGTCACTGAGTGATGATTGACCTGCTTTCATTCTGTATTGTATGAGTACAAACAATACAGTTTCTTTTGTTCATATCAATCAAGATTAATGAAGCCTGTTGAGCTCGCCTTCGTAAATGCTCACCGTCTAAACAGTGAGGAAAAAGGGTTTTATTGTATACTCTTTCATGTTGCATTTTAAGAATCTTTAATTCATACTATGGATGTAAAATATATAGTTTTAGCATGCCTGTGCAGTTTATATACTATACTTGAGGCAAGTGAAATGTTACTGACCTACTCTTTATATTAACAATAACATTCTGATGAGTTAAGTGAGAGAAACTGATCAGATATTCATTTCACAAACAGAAACTGTTATTCAACAAACAATAATTTCTTCCCAGTTATTCAAATCCAGATCCAAGTCATCATGCAAACAGAGTGGGATGACAAACTCAAAAACAAAATATTAAAGCTTTTTTCTTTTTTTTTTTAATAAGGGGCATTTTCGAAAACTTCTATTAAAGATTAAAATCTCTTACTCACCTCTCCATTACTTTGGGTATAAAAAATATTGAGGTCAATTTGGTACATGTCTTTTATTTTTCTCCGCAGTTCATCAAAGTCTGCTGGACGACTTATAGAAATCGCTCTAAAAGTAGAAAAAATAATCAGTAAAAATGAGAATTTGTGACTGAAAACTGAATTTTGGTGTGAATACTACAAACTCTTTGAGCTGTATTTGTACAGTAATGGACTATGATGTTCCTGCAAATGTCTGTATAACATTTAAATTTGACCCTTGATCATTTAGGCTTCAACAGAGTTCATTTGTTAGTGACACCAAGAAATTATATGCACAGCAGCTATCTCATGTCTTGACTCGTGCATGACAGATGTAGAAGACACCAGCTATGAAGTGAAATAAACAACCACAATAGAATGTTGGTATCTGATGGATAAAGTATGATTTTATACTGGAACTAGTAAGGACAGAAAACTGATGGGTTTTTAACAGTTTACTTTTTTTTTGCACTGACCAGGCTAATGAAGAGAGAGAGAGAAATGGGGTTTAATGTCCACTCGACACAAACTAGGTCATTTCGGGACTAACACATGGTTCAATTTTATTTCAATAATTCACTTGCGCGTAGGTATCTTTAGCAGTGGGAGGAAACTGGAGGACCCGGAGAAAACACATGAGGTTGGACAGGCGACCCTACTCCTTGTCACGTACAACCGAGAATCGAAACAACGCCAGTTGACTCAATGATAGATCTTACGATACAGTGTGCACGTGCTAACCATTAGGCTATCCAACACCCCCCCCCCCTCTAAGGAAGACAGGCATGATTGTGGACCATGATGCATTCGGCTAAGATATACTATTCAAAAAAAGTAGGGGATATTTGATTTTGGGGGCATAATACTAAAATATGCAAATGACTACGAAAAAAGTCACTATAGAACCTAACAGAAGAAACATTTCCAGTTACATGTGACGCCCAAACGCACCAATAGCTACCGCATGGAATGCAGGTGATGCTTGGGATCATCATGGGGGTCCAACCCAAGATTTGCACGACTCTGACTTTGAATGTTACAGTCATTGTGGCATTGAATTCCAGGGTGGAAACATCAGTTTAATTGTTTTAGTGACCAGAAAACAAATTTTGATATGCGTCGGCTTACCCAAAATGAAAGGTTACGTGCCCTTGGCATGCTACAGATCGGCACAACACAGGCGGTTGTGGCGCGGACGATGAATGTTTCTCAGTCTGTCATAAGCAGGCTATGGTCCAGATACCGTGATACACAATCTGTACAGGACAGACCACGCTCAGGTCGACCAAGGGCGACAACTCAAGCCCAGGATCGATTTATCCGTACCTTGGCCTTGAGAAATCGTGTCATCACAGCAAATCAGATCAGCGCTCGTCTTCAAACAGACACTGGTGTGAGAGTGAGTGGCCAGACGATTCGGAATCGACTGCATAGGGGTCACCTTCGCGCCCGACGTCCTCGCGTGATCCCTTGTTTGAGAGATCATCACATTCAGGCAAGACGTCGTTGGTGTAGGGATCGTCAACACTGGGATAATCGACGCTGGAGCAATGTGATGTTTTCAGATGAGTCAGGGTTCACTGTTGATTTTTTGAACAGACGTAGGAAGGTGTGGCGTCGTCGAAACGAGCGCTTCCAAGACGTTAACGTCATCAGACATGATCGATTTGGGGGTGGTTCTGTTATGGTGTGGGGAGGCATCACTGTTGCTGGAAGAACGGCTTTACATGTTGTTGCAGGGCGTGTTACAAGCCAGTACTACCGGGACAACATCTTGGCAGTCCATGTTGTGCCGTTCGCACGACGTCATGGCCGCCGTTTCATCTTCCAGGATGACAACGCAAGATGTCACAGGGCCAGGATCGTTACAGGTTACCTCCAACAACAGAACATCACCACATTACCTTGGCCAGCACTGAGTCCCGACCTCTCCCCCATCGAGCATGTCTGGGAAATGCTTGGACAGAGGTTACGTCAACGTCAACAACGTCCTGCCAATGTCCAAGAACTTGCTGCTGCGTTGCAACAGGAATGGGACAATCTGGACCAAAATGACCTTAGACGTCTCATTAGGAGTATGCCACGTCGGATCAATGCTTGTTTGGCAAACAGAGGAGGATTTACCCGTTACTGACTTGGTTGTGATGCTGTGGTAACTTTGCTGTTTGACCCCGGGTATCATTTTACCCTTATAATGGTCAGTCTGTGCCTTACTTAGTCTAACGATTATTTGGAATAAATCGATGAATGTGAACTTCATTTCATTTTGTCATTTGTTTCTTCGTCAGTTTCATTAGGTGACTTTAATAACACTTAAAAATCAAATATCCCCTACTTTTTTTGAATAGTATAATATATATAAGGACCTACGTACTGCACCACTGAAAAGGATGATCTCAAAGAACTTTCTCGGTCAACTGAGGGATAGAATCAAGGACCTCCAGGTTTTGGAGCCTGCATCATACTCAGTGAGTCATGAATACAACACAAGTGTCTGAAGTTTTGACAAAATGTAGTGCATATCTGGGGACTTGACAAAGTATGTACAAGAAAATGTGAATGAACGATGTACCAATAGCAGTGACAACTGCCATTAAAAGCAGTGTATACCTATTCAATACCTTTTTTAAATAGTAAGTTTATATTTGATATGTATGTATTTTAGAGAGAAGCTATACATAGACAGTATGTATACTAGAGTAAGTGTTTATAGTATACAGACAGACAGTAGCTATATTTTGTTATGTTAAAACTAGGTCATCACCCACAACTCGGTCATAACTTCATTCCCCTGGCTATATACTGTAACAACCATCATAAACAAGATAAAATCGGTAATACTCAGACACGTCTTGCTGTAGATATTGAAATAAAATACATTTGTAATTGTACACTTCAACAAAATTAAACAAGTCAGATTTTTGACATATTTCAAAATTCAAGAATTATTCTTACTGTAATTAAACTTTAAAGGAGATCAAAAACACAAATTAGAATGCAATATTGGTCCATTTCAATCAATATGTTGTAAAAATAGGGGATCCTAATATCCAATATTTAATACACAATAAGCATTATATATAAAATAATTATAATCAGTACACAAGTCGTGTATAGTATTTTATGGTAATCAATAATGGTTGCTTCAAAAACAAAAAAAAACAAAAAAACGTGTTGAATGGACTGTTCACATATTTCACCGAACATAATTAATTAGAAATTAAAATAATTTTTTTAAAAAACTAAAATAAATCACTTTATACATGTACATACAATTACATTAAAATGTGCTTTTTAGACCCCATTTTGTCTATTTCAAGGTTTCAAAGAATAGAGTCCTACATCCTTTAATTTTATTATATATCCAACATATGTAAACTTTATATGTGAACTTTTAAAAAAGCCAAACTTCATTCAGGATTGATCATGTCGAATAGTTTTTAAAAAAAAAAGTGATTTTTAATAATAGTAGTTTGGTATAAAACTCTATTAACCTTTATTCCAGCATGGAGCTTTAAAGAATCAACACTGTCAAGAATTAGGTAAAATCAAATTATTCAATTGGGTTGATTTAATGTGTTATTCTGATTCAATTAAACTCTCAGTTCGGTAGATGAAATGGAGGACAAATTTCAACTGTCTGGGTGATCTATTACATGCAAACGGGACCTTAATTTTCATCCCACCCAAACAGCTTGGCACAGTTTGTTGCCAGAGCCCCAATCAGAGTTACTGGTTCTTTTAGTGACATGAAAGCCAATGTGTACAAAGGACCTGAAAAATCCCGTAGAAGTTTCTCGGCCAACACCAGGATCAAATCCCAGGATCTCCTGGTTAGTGAGCCAGAACAACATAACTAAAATCAAAGCGGTTATACCAGCTTTATACTATGATGAGTATTTTTTCATGCAAGATGACCACACCAGATTGAAACTTGATCACCATGGCTTATGATCATTCATAGCTATAAAATATTTTTTTTTTTCAAATAGAAAATGTCATATTTTCAACATCAAATAACTTGAAATAAGTCAACTTGAAAAGTGTGTGTCTGTTTTACGTCATCAATTTTTTCTGTAACAGTTGAAAGGAGTGTTTGTGGCAATTTTTATTAATCTATACTGTCCTATTACGTCACTTAGTCAGGTACATTATCACAATTAATAAAAATCCTAGCGAATTTGATTTTATTCTAAGGGCTATACTATATACCGGAAAACAACCGGTATTTAGTGTTTTTCCGATGTTTTCCGGTATTCAGTATAAAATGGTGTTTTCCGGTTGTTTTCCTGTGTTTTCCGGAATATAGTATTGCCGCTATTCTAATATAGCTTGATTTTCGTGAATACAAATACGGTAGATGTAGATAGCAATTTTGGTTTAAGAATCACTCTCAACTTTAAATGAATCTGTATAGAGTTCCAATTGACATTTTAAAATAAGAATATACTTGAATCTTGGGTTATTTTGATATTTTGAATATTATGTTATAAATACAAAATTTAGTAGGTTTATTTTCATGATAGTGATAATGCCTCTTAAATCTACCAGTAAAATACAAAAAGCTTTTATGTTTTATTCAGTTTTATACAAATCTGATCTTTGGATTCTACTTTTATTTTCCTACTAATGGTATGTTTTTATATGTTTTATACAAATTTGACCTTCTAGTTTTATTTTCCTACTACTAATGGTATGTTTTGTACTCTGTTCAAGAAGTATGTAGGAGAAATATCTAATTTCATCAAATTAAAATATGACAAAAATAAGTGACCAGGTTGAAGGTCACAGGTTAATTACATACGCCTGCCCCTAATACTACAGTCACGATATTCTTTAAATCACTCAAAATATTGATAAAGTTATCGCATATTTATTGACATAAGTTAATCTGTGTAGTTAGAGGTAGCCATCCTGACTCCTACAGCTCCAGATAAAACAAATAAAGGTCACATCTTTCTTAATAACAAACTAAGTATATTAGAGTAGTTTCAGGAATCATATTTTACCAATATATCATTATTTATCAGTTTAAAATTCTGCAAACTGAAATAGCTGTATCCAATAAAATAAACTTCTAAAGTGAGCCCTCTCCTTCATAAAAGATATAATTGGCTTCTCTCTTTTTCTACATATCTCCCCTTTCTCCATCCATATCCAGGGTTTCCACTCAATCATTATCTCATTGCTTTGCACTTTCCTTCCAAGACCCCCACCCCCCACTCCCTCCAGATTTTAAAACAGAAATTTTTGCTTTACATCCGTAATTAACCTAATGGCCACTTCCTTTCTTTATGCTCACCCACCATCTTTGATACCCATCACTAGCCCCCACCCCACCCCTCTCTTACACACACCTGCTCAATCAAATAAGTTAATATGGCTGGTCACATGATATTTAGTGATGTCAGGTGTCTTTTGTCGACCACAAAGACGTTTTTTTTTATTGACATAAACTAAGTAGATTGGTTGTCTACTTGTCCCAAAGAATGACATTTTTATAATTATTATCCAGAGACTGGTGCAAACTGTTCAGTCAATAATAACAAGGACATGATAATAGAGTCTACAGTAAATATATAATACTTATTTCTTTTTCTTATCTAAATATAGAAACTCAACAAGATTAATATGACCTTTTTTCAGCAACAGTCATTATAAATATAAAACTAGTCAACTTAACTGCTCGCTTGAATTTTTTTTATCAAGAGAGAGAGAGAGAGAGAGAGAGAGGGAGGGAGGTTTTATGGTCCAGTCCACAATCTAGGTCATTTCGGGACTAACATAAGGTTCAATTTTATTTCAATAATTCACTTGCGCGTAGGGGTCTCTAGCAGTGGAAGGAAATCGGAGGACCCGGTGAAACCCACGAGGTTGGACAGGCAACCCTACTCCTTGTCACGTACAACTGGGGAATTGAAACCATGCAAGTTGACTCAATGACAAACCTTGATACAACGCACACCTGGCCACACCTAAACATAAACATTTGAGCTGATTAATTTTTCCTGCTTTATAATTTAATTTTACAAAATTTGAAATAGAATTTTATCAATTTATGTAGCTACGTGTGTATATGTTATAAATTGATTCTCAAGAACAGAAAAATAATTCGCATCATGTCATAAATAATAAGAACGATCCAAATAGTTGCTATAGAGACAAATCAAATATCTGTTTGTTAATAAAGACTAGAAATTCAATTCCACTCTCTCGATCTCTGACCTGAGAGTAAATACAATATATATTGCCAGTTGTAAATACACTCTTGACTAGCTTACTAGGATATATATGTGTTCAGTTACAATAAGTATGTTATTATTAGCTAGCATGCTTCCAGTTATCAAATGTGCTAAAAAGAAAAAATAAAGCGTAGTTTAAAATGAACATGGTGACCCAGATCTAGTGATACATAGATAGTAAACAGTGTGTTGTTACATGATAAATAAACAATATGTCTTGAATACTTATACGTAATTCCTCAACAATTTATGCAATTACTTTCTCAAATTTTTCTAAGAAATTAAAAATTGAATGAAAAATTGAGTAAACATCAAATATCAGCAAATTACATGATTAGTTTCTGTCATTAATTTTATTTACACAGTACTTTTGTTGCTTTTTATTTTATTTTCTAATTCTATGCATTAGTGTATACTAAATAGAACGGAATAGAATAGTGTTTAACATCTTGTTAACAATAATACAGTCATTTTGAAACTAACAAGGGACGGGGGAATTCTGCCAGGATAGTGATGTTTCCACCTAACTACATGTATATTTTGAATTCCAACTGCCATCAGTTCCTTTACATGCACTTCCAATTTTTACATAGGACCACTGTTTTAATCCAATCCGACCGACAGAACAAACTTTTTGGTCATCCCGAAGCCTTCATGCTTGACAAGTGAGAACTAAGCTTGAAAGCTTGTGATGATTCTTCTCAAGCGACGCTGGGATCTGAATATGGAACATTATTACAGTGTCCTGACCACAAAACTACCTCGAATCCATAAATAATAGGCAATAAACAAGTTGCTAAAAAAAAGTGAGATAATTTCACACGGAAGTTATACAACTTGGTTACAGAGGATTACACCGTTTTCAAAATGAGGACAACCAAATTTTTACGCTTTTCAGACCTTCGGTCGAAACATGTATTGTTTCTGTTTTTTTTGTGGAATTTAGTCAGAGTTTGCAGCTAAAACTGTACATGGTGCCAAAATTCTGCCAACGTAGGTGTTTTTGGCCTCCGTGGATCTATTTGCTATATATAAATTGGGTCATTTTTGATGAACAGGAAGTGTTTTACGGATGGGACAGAAAATAATATCAGATTGCCTATAAAATGGTTATTTTGCAACGGATCTCCGTTGGGTTTTCATTTTTCTTCTCTTTGGATGAATCCAAAAGAGGCTCTGATTGGCTGTTTTTCGAAATTTGGAAGTTTGTTCGATTAGTTTTAGCATTAAAGATTTGTGAAAGTTTTCCTCAGCATTTTTTCGACATTCAAGGTGGCGTATCTCCGTTAGTAATTGAGGTATCAAGTTGAAACTTGGCAGGAATAAGGAACACATTGATGCTTTCAAAATGGCATATTAAAACATTTTGTAACAGATTCCGTAAACTTCCGGAAATTACCGAGGCCTTCCGATTTTTCCCGAACATGAATAGTTCTCCCCATTTTAAAAATAGACCAAAAATGTAAGTGGTGGTGTTAGCCCCAGATGTTATCTTTCATTTTCAGAGACCTTGTTCCCTAACATTTTCAACCGTTTGGCCGCCATATTGATTTTACAAAAAAACTTCAAATCAATATTCAGTCGCCATTTTGATTCCAATTTTCAAAAACTTTTTTTGTTTTGAACCTACTCCAAAAGGCAACAATTCTTGGGGAGCCAATTTTTTAATTTTGATTTTGTTTACTTTCAGTTTCATTTTGAATTTTGTTCGACCTTTGACCTATCTGATGACCTAACCTTTCAATGACCCTTGACCTTTGTATATATGATGAGCCTGATGTCTACTAAATATATCAAAAAGTTTGGTCTTGAAGTACAGCATCTAGTTTTATACAAAATGACAGGGTTTTTTCCTCTTTAATAGGTATTGGATGTTACTATACACAATAATTCATGGTGTAACTTGATGGTTGACGTGACAAGGTGTGATCTGACGTGACCTGATGTACCGAAACAGGTCAGTACTCCATCCGACTTCTAGTTAAAATTATATCTTTGATGATTTTATGTCCCTGTCAAAGGCTATATATCATCTACTTCACTCTGTTTTTGTTTTTACTCATTAAAATCAAATAGAATGTTTATTGTGGCAATCAAAGAAAATTCTCTCTATTTTATCAACTCTGTACACAAGTAATATATTATAACTGTTCTAGGGAAAAGGCCATCACAAAGTATTTGTCCTCATAATTAAGTAGGGCCTAACTGGTAGATCCCCTTTGGTTACATAAACATGCAAATTATGGTGCACAAAACATTTTTTAAATGAAGCTACAATACATTAATCTTTTAACATCCAGTAATTTAAAATATTTCCTTATATAAATAAAGAGTGCTGATCTGGATAGAAAACTGTAGCAGACTACAATCAAACAGCAGACCGACAGGTAAAAAACAGATATATTACTAGATTTGTTGTTGATGGTGTAAATGTGACAAGTTCTTGTCAAGTATCTGGTTATTTTGGTTTAATTCCCACTATAACCAACTATACTGGTAATGTCAGTGTCTGTATATAGAAACCGACTAGAATTGAATTACAATTAAATATCAAACAAGGACAAGCAGTTTTAAATTTACTGTTAAACAAATATAACTTGATATACCATTCAACTTTTCCTGAATAATGAAACAGCATTTCTTCCAATTTGATATCTTCTACAGAAAAATTAGCCATCTTTGATTCTAACTTTTGATACCTGTACATGAATTTTCACTCCCCCACCCTCAATAATTTTAATTCCCCATTTCCTCTTTAGAAATTTGTCAAAATTATGTCAATTTTTCTTTATTGTTTTTACACAACATGTACATTGTAATGTAACCTACATCTATGAATATTATCAGAGTTTGTACATGTAATCAATCATATTCTAAACCAAATCAAATCACTTAGTTTTTAAAATTCGATTTATTCACAAAAATAAAATGTAATCCTGTATGAGTGTATAATTCAAACAATTTGACAACCGACCAGTAAAGGACATGTGCTACGAAAATCAACTTAAAACATGTTAACTTTATATGTAGTACAAACAAATGAAACATAACTGGCATTTAATTTTAATTCAGAATATGTTATAATAACTGTACTCTCTGAAAGACAGGGAATTTGACCAGTCTGATTGACAGAATAGCCATAGCAACCACAGGGACAAGTAATTAATTATTATCAATTATTCTTGTTTTGTCAACTTTAGGTGTATGCTTCAATATGCCAAAAAATGGTTGAATTTCATAGTGGAAGATGTACAAGATATAAACTATTTATCCACTGTGAAGACATTCTAGTAGTACCAAGGAAATATTCATTTACAGAATAAAAGAAATTTCCAATTTGACTACGTATTTTAAAATCAGTCATGAGTCAGGAAAATGTGTCCCTTCTAGCTCAAATTTATATTCTTGTTTAAAGAATTTTTTTTTTTTCATTTTAGAGTAAAACGAATTAATTATAAATCTGACTTTTAATCTTCTATTTCTAAATCATATTCATCAACTCACCTTCTTTCTCCATTAAAATCTATTTTAACTTTTAATTCATTCCGCCGCTACAAAAAAAAAACAAGACATTATATTATCATAAAAAAACATATAATTTTAAAAATTTTCCTCCCAGGAAATTTTTAAAATGTTTTGATTTACAACATTTATCTGAAAATCTAAATATTCTAGAAGGGTCTTCCTTCCATAACCATAAATTTATTTCTTTTATTACTTAAATCTTGGGGAATGTTCTAACAAAAAGACTTTAAAGGGCTTTGAATATTCAACATTTCAGTGTAAGGTAAAAAAAAGAAAAGAAAAAAAAGGTAATTATTTAGATTCGATGACATGCTCGTTGACAGATAGATTTAATTTACAGTCAGACATTTTTAATACAAGCAGGTCATTGACTGGCAAAAACGGCTCATATGTATGTAATAATGCAGATGTACATAAGATTTGACTTACCTGTAAATTAGAATAGGCAGCTCGTTTTACTTGTTTATTACCAACTCTTAATCCTCTTTCTAAACCACTTTCAATTGATGCCAATACCTCTACCATAGGAGGTTGGCTTTCTGTAATAATAAAACACATTTTATTTAAATAACAGTGTATCATTTATAACAAAAATATAGCTGTCCTTACATTGTAAGCAATAACATCTCTGGATGTGAGCAACAACATACAAATAAGAGACATCAGTTGTCATACCTGGCAATAACAAATAGGCAATATAACCTTCATATATACAGATAAACAACAATACATGTAATAAAAATAAACAACAACTGTGACATAGATAACTAAGACAATTTAAACTGTCATAAAAATAAGCCACAACAACAATTGGGCAATGACTTTATCCACTTCATGGTCCACAAGATTTTTCAAAGTGTCAGATCGGGGGTCAGCAGACTTCTTTGTTTGATGGACATTTATATTTAATATCCTACTGTTCTGCACCGAGTTGGCTAATGAAGACAGGCATACACCATGCAGTGTGCTATGACTATGAGGGAAATTTTGGCAGGACAGTGGCACTACGGCCTACTCTTAGTTTGAATCACGGTTCTTTTGTGTATAAACAGAACTCATACCATCGGAATGATAAGACATTGCCTTTGCCAGGCCCTTCATCCTGCACTACTGAATAAGGGAAATTATGTTGGAAAGTCCCAGGGAACTTTCTCAGCCAACAGTGAGATTGCACCCTGCTCACTAAGCCACTCTGGTTTGCTATATAACAACAGAGAGACAGGGTTAACAACAATATTCAACCACATTTAAACAATATTATTATTATCATATTTATTGATAGGCAAGTACAGATAAGTGATTCTAGTCTATTGACATTTGACATATCACCCAGTGTAAACAACCTACATTAATTAAATCAGACTTTTTATTTCAATAATAAACAGCCAGTGAATAATAGATGTTTGTATCCAATTACATATTATTAGAAATATGGACTAAATCCTGCTGATTTTTCACAAGGTTCACTGATTACAGAATAAAGAGATTTTAATGTGTTCATGTATAGATACCTTAATAAAATTAATAATATTGAATGGAAATTTTAAGGATGTCAACTTTTAGTCTATTTGCGGACACCATGCAGTACATTCATCATAAGAAAGTTAGGTTGCCAGACAAGGAAACATACGCCCACAGCAGTAAAATCGTCCGATCAGTCGACAAGGGTTGTCGCATATTTAATCTTTTGTAGGTAATGGGGGGCATTTACAAGACACTTTCATAATCATACACAGATCAGATAATTTTTGTCCTTTTAGGGTTCACAAGATGCTACAAACTAAAACAAGGGCCTTAACTCTAGGAAAATAGCCTATACATAGAATGTTGAAATTCAACAGCCTTTTTATGTGGTACTAATCAGATAATGACTTGTCGTTCGCGTGTTCACATTTTTCAACAAAGTAAAATAAGGCCCTTACCCGGGAAGAAATTATTGGAAATTGCTGAAATTCAATTGGCTTCTTTGTTTCACTAATCTAAATGATGTATATAAATTTCATACTGATATACTTATCGTACAATAACCTTTGTCGTCAAGAGTGTTCACAGGGTTCAACAAAGTGAGACAAGGGCCATAGCTATAGATGTAACGGAAATTTCCATGTGGACGTATAAAAAACATAAACTTCTGATGAACACATATTATATACTTTGAGTATATAAATCTAAGAAATGCTACAAGAGGTATATTAGCATAAGCTCTTTGCACAATTTGAGACAAATCTGTCCAGCCATTACTGGTGTATAGACAAGCATTAAGTTTAAATTTACAAGCTCTACAAAATTCTTAGGGGTTTTTAAGGAGTTTATATGAATAACTCATCAAATAAATGTATTTAAATTTTTAATAATTAGGTATATCTACAAATGTAAGGTACTTTCACATGGTATCATTCTAAATTATTTACTGTTATTTTCTTGACAAGGGTTTTTTTTCTTTGCCATAATGTCCCTTCAAATAAATTATGTAGTTTTCAAGATGTTGATATTATGATTAGCACTTAGATAACACAGATGGCTAAAAAGCTTTATAATTTAAATAATTATTGAATATAAATTTCCAAATCAATATTAATCAACTAACATACTGTTTACTGAGGTAAAGTAACAGCTGAGTTGACAAAATTTAAACACATAATATAAAATACACTATAACCAGCCTATTCCCTTGCTATTGATAATTTACCTAAATTTACTCACATGTTTGAAATATTTTAATACACATAGCATACATGTTTGAAATATATACTTATCCATTATGCATGTTGCAGCATGTCTGAAATATTTTAATACACATCATGCATGTTTGGAATATTTTAATACTCATCAGAGTAAGAAGAGTAAAGAAGAATAAGATAAAGAACTGGTTGTTCTTGCTACATCAGTTAAAAAATGGATAATGATAAATGTTCTTTCTTGAAAATTATTTTATTCTGGGCAAAGTCATGACTGTTTGAAGATGCAGCGCAGATTGTTTATTATTATAGCCTTTTCCGGCGTAGTTTCCCTTGTCAGTGATGCAGGATGGAGGGCCTGACATGGACTGCTGTCTAGCTGTTTAGATGGGACGAAAAACCGAGGTCATAGCAACATTACTCGACAACTGAGGTTAAGTCTTGATTATCCATTTTATTTTTAAATTTTTACATCTCACGGATGTTCAAAGTTCAAATCCATTTAAATCTCAGCCACCCAATGGTCTAAACACTAGAAACTTGATTATTGGCTTGTCATGTGAATAAATGTCTAAATATTAATTCATATAACAGTTGAAGCCAAAAGAAAGACCTGTAATATGCAGATTTAGCTCTTACATAATGCAGATGTAATTTTCAAACCCAAAGTTAAGGATACATGTAAGGTTAAGGCCATACATCATCATTCAAATCCCACAACATTTAACTTAAGTACATCACATAAACTACTTTTAAAGCCCAAAACTGTTCAACTAGTCTCTTATGGTCAGCACTCTTTTAGTTATCAAGCACCTGTTTTATGGAATAATGTACCATTTAGTTTAAGATATTGTACATCTCTATATTCTTTTAAAAAAACAACTTAAAACACATTTATTTAATCAGGCTTTTAACTGACTCTGTATACAATCGTTAACATGTCCATAATCTTGTTGTTTATTTATGATTATATTGTCACTTTGTAAAGTGCCCCTGAACATGTAGGGTGCACTATAAATATGTTGTAATAATAATAATAATGTGCATGTATATGGATATTTAAAGTATACTATGGACATTTAACTTGTGGATATTTAAAGTATCTATTGACTTAACTTGTTGTGTCTGCCTTTATTTAAGCTGAATAAGATACCAAACTACAATTTAAATCAATTTCTAATATCTACTTTATTTTTACTTTCATATATATAGCCTTGGCTTCCTTGTTAAAAATCTTAAAAGCATACTTTCATGGAATCCCAATCTAAAGAGGATCCGGGTTTGAGGACAAAATAAGGAGCATAACCTAACAAAGCTATTACTGTAGAGTGTATGTTGAGAATAGAGTGTAAATACAGCAACTGATATCAAGTATAAACACTACATACAACACTGGTATATTGACATGTTACTATAAATAGAACAATATACCACACTGTCACCTAACAATATATCACAGTTACACATGTATATTTACATGTTGTATGTACCGTATTATATGTACATGTACATGTAGCCTTGAAATTTGCTTTTTAGGGCAGCAGAGCAGACCGATTTAGTACTAATTTCATTAGTCTGAAATTTGACATTAATGTGAAATGAAAAAAAAACATTATATAAAATCTGTTAGTATGGTGTTAATATTCAAAACTTTTAAAGTTTGAAAATGTTGTTGATTTTTACCCCTTGTGCCTACATGTGGTTTCACAGTACAGTAAAGTAATTATGGCTTCCTGATTCAATGCAACATTTTCCTGATTTTATGTTTCACTGTTGATGGAACTAAAATCAGTACGGTACAAAAATTGACTACACTGATTTTGCTCCATAAACTACATGAAATTGACATCAATCAATCATTTTGTTCTGTAATAAACTAATCCACAGATCAACCCAATTCAAAAACAATACTTTCTGTTGACCTAAATTGAAGATGTTTAGTTCCCATAAGTTAAAAATATTTTCTGACCTAAATGTTTGAAAAAATGTAAATTCACAACCTATCTTTATATTATACTACAGATCTTTTGTTGAATCATTTTGAAATTTTTAATATCTCTCAGTTCTCAAATGATAAATCTATTTTCATACATCAAAAAAACTCTATAATGATGTTGCCAGCAAGGATATAAACAGTTCAACTAGGTACATTTATTCCATATGTATCAAGCCTATATCAGTTCATCCAAGCGATTCATCAAGTCATCGAACCATAATATCAACCATACAGTTATTAGTCAACATTTATCCTTACAAAAATGGCCAGCCATTTCACATATCACTGAACAACCTGATGGATTTATTTGGAAAATATCTCTCTCCACTCAGGGTTTCATTCTACGTAGTAAATTATATTACACACAAGTCACGATTTCTTTTCTTCTCAACTTATAAAATATTTATCATCAGATTCCATCTTTGTTGATATTATTAGTCTACATTAAAGGACCATGGACCTCATTAATTCACAAAATCTAGAAGTCTTCAGCACACTGACGTCACTCCCTTAAGACAACAGTCAAAATATAATCTTTTAATTTGCAACCATTAAATAAAATGGGGGTTTTAATGACTTCCTTCTTTTCTGCACCAACCAGGCTGATGCAGATGAGCATACACATGCAGTGTTCTATGAAGGAAATTTTGCTGAGACATACATTTGTAGCGGCGCTTCCACCTGTAATGTCATCTCCCTCAAATTCCAAATGTCAGGGGTTTTTTATTTGTACAGAGCACCTCAGTTTTCCATTTCATCTGAAGGACTAGACACTGTTCCTTGCCTGGTGCCCCTAATCTGCACTATGGGCCAAAGGTAACCAGTCTGGAAATGTTACTGTGTATACAACAAAAGCTAGCGTTAAGTTACAAGTACAGTAATGCTCATTGAGAAATATAACACTAGCTACGGATTCAGGTGATTTCATACATGTGATAGCTGTAGCAAATAAATGTCTGTTTGCCTAGAAATTTCCACAATATTCATGTAGGGTAATTGTCAATGTTTGGAACACCTATAACCTGGCGTCTGGCAAGGACAGCTGTCTAGTAATTCGGATGAAACGATAAACCAAGGTCCCATGTATACATTGGCATGCACCTAAAAGATCTCTCGGCAGTTGGAATTCAACATAAAATTAATGATTAGGCCGTAATGCCACTGTCCAGGCAAAATTACCCTCATAGCACAATGTATGACGTATGCCTGTCTTCATTAGCCCAGTCGGAGCAGAACAGAAGGACGTTAAACCCCATTTCATTTCATTTCTATAACCCGTCTTAAAATGACATTTTATCGAAGCCGGCTTAACAAGACGATATGGCCCACCCCCTCAATGTTATCATTTGACATAAGTAAGAGACTTACCTTTATTTGTAATAGGTTTATCCATAATAATAATAATAAAACTGTGGTCCACATACACCAGTAAGGTGACATGGATAATTACAGAACTTATTATAATCCACTTTAGCCATAACACTCACATACCTGAAATAAAGTATAATTATAGGTTAACGAAATGACAGTCTTACAAATATAAAGAACTGCCCAAAAATCATTTAATTTTACAAACATTTACTTTAAGATGCATTTAGAATTCTATTTATCGTGTACATTGGTTTTCTACCTTTGTCCACTTGCAAACCTCTTAAGACATTTTTATAGATCACCAGGGACGGTAGGGACCTCATATCAGAATACCCATATATTAGGGGTGCTACGACTTGACATTACATGCAACAAATTTTCACAAAAAACTTTGATAAACCCCAACATTGGCGATCTTAATCAGACAAAATGAATTATCAAACAAATGATATAATACGGTTCAGTATTTTGATAACAGATGCACAATCCTATAGTTTGCCAGCTGACAAGGACAGCTGTCTAGTCCTTCGGATGAGACGAAAAACTGAGGTCCCGTGTATATATTGGAAAGTACGTAAAAGATCCCCTGGCAGTTGGAATTCGATATATATTATAAGCGTCAGGCGATAGTGCCGCTGCCCGGGCAAAATTTCCCTCATAGCACACTGTATGGCGTGTGCCTGTCTTCATTAGCCCAGTATAGGAGCAGAACAGTAGGACGTTAAACCCCATTTCATTTCATTTCTATAGTTTGCCCACAATTTACACTCTTTCTTCAGTGCAAGTTTTGAAACATCATGAAAATTAGTCTGTTCATCATTTTGTTTCCACACTTTGAAAGCCCTGTATGGAAACACAGGTAAAATGCATTACAGAGTGACTAATACGGACCTCGAGATTCAAACTGTAAAGAATACTTTGAGCCAAAGTACACACAACATATAAATGCACACATTGAGTTGACAAATAAATAACTGTTTCATTTAATATATGTTCCTTAAAACAGTTTTATAGAAGTCCATCAACATACAGATTTAAATTAAATTTACCTGCATGCATGTTCTCATTGGCATGAATTATTGTAGGTCTACCAGAACCCAGTATACATGTATGTTGATTACTCCTTCACAGAGATAATCTGCACTTAATCCAAGTCAATGTTCGCTAACACACAATGTTTAACTTGTACTAAAGCCACTGGGGTGTTTCCCCCTATTTTTACAGCTATAAATTCCACTGTTATATAATAGATCAGTGAATTAGACAGATTATCATAAGGTAATCTACAAGTTTAATCCTCTTTCTTAGGTAATCCTGTGGATCTATTTTTACCTATCCTCTATTGTTTGTATATATACTTTCTAAACAATAAACTACAACTGTCCTTGACCACTCGTACTTTCTAAACTAACAAACCTCCTACACACATCTCAACATGGATCACCAGATTATTTACATCAAGTCAACATAACTTTTATATAAAATATCAAATAAAATGAGATTTAACTATTTTACTGCACCAAGTGGGCTATTGATGACAGGCATATAGACAGTGTTATGATAGACCAATGACTATTTGGGTGGACCTTGTTTTTCCTCCCATCCTAACGAATAATCTTACTCTTTTTTTCTAGTGAGGCCCTCTGTTGTGCACATTCTACATAAGGAGAAACCCGACTAGACAATCCCAAGGCAGTTTCTCGGCCAACACATGGATAGATCCAGGGCAGTCTGGTTAGAACGCTGCCGCCATATTCACTAAGCACACTATAGTACCCCCCCCACCCGTTTAAAACATTAAATTTAAATTCATGTACGTCATATACTGTCTCCATTACGTCATGACAATTTCCAAAAAACATGATTTTCACTCGTATTGTACACCTGTGACAAAATTTCATGTACATGTAGAATCCTTTTTAATTACCAGTTACTTTCGTTTCCACTTTATTATCATGTCATGTCAATATTCGGACGTTATGGTATAAGTATATTTGAGACAATTTATAACAAAAGACGTCATTTATGACAAAATTATGTCACAACCTTGTATAAAGCAATACTCTTGCTGACATGTACGCCAATCACAACAGACAGGTCATAATGTTTTTAGTTAACATACTAAATTGTTTACAGATGAGCATCATAAGTCATTAGCCTACATCTTGTGCACAAAATAGAATTCAACTTCTTGATTGTCGCTCACAATCAGAATTTGGCATAAAAATAGGGAGACAACAGTCACATAATTGGTACAACTGAACACTTCGTAGAGCGATTCATAGCTTTCCTGGCAATTTCTTAGAGTAAAGTCTGGGTCAATTTATTCTATGTCAACGAGGTAGCCTCCAAAAAATCACATACCCCTCTACATATAGCACCCTCTTCGCACCTTACTAGTATGCCACTAGGTACAGATGACTACAGACATTGAAGTAGCCCATATTTTTATTAAATAATTTTTACAGATAAGAATAAGTGTAAGTGTATGACATCAACAGCTACTTGTGAACAGGAAATGGTTTGTCTTGTGGTGAGGAGATCCCTATCTCCGTAGGATTGGTTATGCATAAAAAATGAAATGGACAATTGGTACAAATATTAAATTACAACCATCCTTGTTAAAATCAATGTCAGTAGTTAAAGGAAAATCTACAGTTCTTGCACATGTCTTGACATTCAGACCAGATAATAATATACTATTCAAAAAAAGTAGGGGATATTTGATTTTGGGGGCATAATACTAAAATATGCAAATGACTACGAAAAAAGTCACTATAGAACCTAACAGAAGAAACATTCCCAATTACATGTGACGCCCAAACGCACCAATAGCTACCGCATGGAATGCAGGTGATGCTTGGGATCATCATGGGGGTCCAACCCAAGATTTGCACGACTCTGACTTTGAATGTTACTGTCATTGTGGCATTGAATTCCAGGGTGGAAACATCAGTTTAATTGTTTTAGTGACCAGAAAACAAATTTTGATATGCGTCGGCTTACCCAAAATGAAAGGTTACGTGCCCTTGGCATGCTACAGATCGGCACAACACAGGCGGTTGTGGCGCGGACGATGAATGTTTCTCAGTCTGTCATAAGCAGGCTATGGTCCAGATACCGTGATACACAATCTGTACAGGACAGACCACGCTCAGGTCGACCAAGGGCGACAACTCAAGCCCAGGATCGATTTATCCGTACCTTGGCCTTGAGAAATCGTGTCATCACAGCAAATCAGATCAGCGCTCGTCTTCAAACAGACACTGGTGTGAGAGTGAGTGGCCAGACGATTCGGAATCGACTGCATAGGGGTCACCTTCGCGCCCGACGTCCTCGCGTGATCCCTTGTTTGAGAGATCATCACATTCAGGCAAGACGTCGTTGATGTAGGGATCGTCAACACTGGGATAATCGACGCTGGAGCAATGTGATGTTTTCAGATGAGTCAAGGTTCGCACGACGTCATGGCCGCCGTTTCATCTTCCAGGATGACAACGCAAGATGTCACAGGGCCAGGATAGTTACAGGTTACCTCCAACAACAGAACATCACCACATTACCTTGGCCAGCACTGAGTCCCCACCTCTCCCCCATCGAGCATGTCTGGGACATGCTTGGACAGAGGTTACGTCAACGTCAACAACGTCCTGCCAATGTCCAAGAACTTGCTGCTGCGTTGCAACAGGAATGGGACAATCTGGACCAAAATGACCGAAGACGTCTCATTAGGAGTATGCCACGTCGGATCAATGCTTGTTTGGCAAACAGAGGAGGATTTACCCGTTACTGACTTGGTTGTGATGCTGTGGTAACTTTGCTGTTTGACCCCGGGTATCATTTTACCCTTATAATGGTCAGTCTGTGCCTTACTTAGTCTAACGATCATTTGGAATAAATCGATGAATGTGAACTTCATTTCATTTTGTCATTTGTTTCTTCGTCAGTTTCATTAGGTGACTTTAATAACACTTAAAAATCAAATATCCCCTACTTTTTTTGAATAGTATATATATGTACAGAAAGACAGTGGCGGATTAAGCTCCACCAAGGCCTGAGGCGGCAGTTACTGAAGGGCCTACATGTATTTAGTTTTTAAAGTTAGAGCCAAGGTAGTTGCTAATATTAAAAACGGGATTCGTTACTGAGGTTATGATATTATTAAAATATTAGTTATAACTATTGAAATTTGTCGTACAAAATGCTTTGACAGCAGAAACGTCACCGGAAACCAACTGTACATACACCTATTTTTAGGGGTGATGATTTTCCGTGATCGCGGAAAAAACGCGGAAATCGCGGAATTGTCCACTCAAAACGGAATTTGAAATCTCACACGGAAAAAGACGGAAAAGCCGATATTTGCTGATACTAAACACAAACTCAAAACAATTTTGCAGTTATCCAAGTATTTCATCTTTTTATTCATAAAAATCGGAAATATTGAATGATATCGCATGGTTTTGTTACTGTCTATTTTAGTATTTAGCTACTTTCATTTCATCATATAGGAATCATAATTTTAATCGAAACGAAAACCTGTCTTTCATGTATCCCTGTATACAATTACTCTGTAGTTGAACTTGAATTAAACATTGTAATGTATATATGTCTTAAAAAAAACTTCTGTCACTTCATAAAAGTAAAAATCGTTTCATTTACTTCTTATTTTACTGCCGTACAGTAGTAACTACGAAGATGTCTGGATAAATCGCGACTACAACTAGCAGCTGAGAAAAATGGCTTCGTCTGCTAAAAAGATGAAACAAGCTCACAAGATGTAATTTTCTGTTATTTAATTCGGGAAACAGGTTTAAAGAATAACTAGTCATTGAACATTACAAGTCATTCACAATTCAACATTTGTTATCATTGGTTTAAAATGATCCGTTTTGTAATAAAAGGCATTTTAAGATGTTTTATTCATTTATTCATAAAATAACATTTTATCTCGAAAAAACGGAATATGGTCAGCTCTGAAACGGAAAATAACGGAATTAAAAAAACTTAAAACGGAATTTGCTATTTTCTGAAACGGAAAATCATCACCCCTATATTTTCAAGGATAATATTTCCTCATGATGGGGTGTTTACATCGAAACTAGCGCAAGATCTTTTGC